ATCTCAGAAATAACTGTGCAAAACTTCTCACAGCATAGATAATCAGGCAATTATTGAGATGGTTATAGTTCTCCCAGGCCCTGGCTGCTTTGCCGCAAGACCCAATCACACTCTGAGCTACAATCTCATTTATCGCTGCTCCATTTTTTCTGTATTTTACTATAGTAAATAAGAATAAATGCTCAATCTAAGTTTTAGAGTTCTTTAAAAAGCAGCGTATGACATGTGGTTTATTGTTGAAGCTTTAAATTTAAAACTTACATGGAACTAGTTAAAGCTTTCAATTTATAAAGCGTTGAGAAGATTAAAAAAACATAGTCTCTGTTGATCATGACATTCTAGAAAATAAAACAAAATAAAACAAAAGGCGCTAGACTGGAGCTTTGGAAATATGAGCCTTCGTTTTGGCTGCTCATTTCCAGTGCAATTTTTGGAAAATAATTTAAATTTTCCTAGATCCCAATTTATGCATCTATAATTTCAAGAAATTTGTAGCCACTCCTGTTAGAGTTTAATCAACCCCAAATACTAATAAAAACAACCTGCCTAACTGTCATTTTAAACATTCACTTATGACAGCACTTTCCCAAGATCTTCACGAGTCGGGAAGTGCCATCACTCTCTGTTTTGCAGAGACGAGAACTTGGAGAAGTCAACTGCCCCGACTTAGGCCACGGATGCAGGGATCGGCCTAGGAGAGCTTAGCCCTCATGTTTGTCTTGGTCTATTTTAAGCAAACAATTCACTCTGGCTGAGGTAAGATTATTGGGAGGACCAACTTCCTTAAGGGGACACAGAGTCTGAAAACCTAAGAGTAGGCAGAAGCTTTATTTTCACTTTTATGTCACAACAAATGCTTTTCACATAGTGAACCCATGGATGTACGCGTGGATTTTCCTTTTTCCGAATCTCTCAGCTCCTCTCTGCAGTAGACAAAAAGGATCCCGTGCGTGCCCCTGGGGGTGCATGCTCAGGCGCCCCGGGACGTGACCCAGCGGGGAGGGGCGCTCCCTTCTCCCACTGGCGAGGCTGCCCCACGGGCCACTTCCTAAGCTGGGACCTCGGTTTCCTCTGGTTTACAGGGAAAACCGTCTCGCAGACAGCGAGTGTAGACAGCTGCCGCCTGGGCCCAGACCACCCGGTGCCTGAAGGATTTTATTTCCCCCCACTGACAATGTCCCTCTCATTTGTGCCTTGTGGGAAGTGTAAGAGCAGGGGCTTTCTTGGGACAACACCCTGATGTATTCAGCACAGCAGCTGGGTCTGGCTTCTCTTTTTAAGGGTTGACAGGGCTGGTACCCTTATTTGTAAGTCTCTCCAATACAGTCTATTCCACAACACCGCCTCGTGGTGCCCGGAGTGTGACTGGAAGCCACGACACAGCAGGTCCAGAGCGGGAAGGAACCCACTTTCCAGTTGGTTTTCATTTGTTATGATTCTTTAAGAGTTTCAAAGAGATGTGCATAATTAAGAATTGCAAATAGGGCCTCCCTGGTGGCGCAAGGGGTTAAGACACAACCTATGAAGCTGTCCGCAGCCTCTGCAGCACAAGTTGGATCCCCGACCAGGGAGATACCCACATGGCGCAGCAGACCTCTCCTGTCTCCCCGCTGCTCCCCTGAATATATTTCAGTCGATCTGCCTGTTCTGCTCCCCACTCTGTCTCTGGTGAATCCTCTCAGCCCCCCATCTCTGGCCTGCACCCCAATTCTTGAATGCATAAATAAAAATAAATAAATCTTTAAAAAAAAGAATTGCAGATAGCAACTGTATGATTTACAGAATATTTTCATGTTCTATATTCTACTTAATTCTCACACCAGTCTGCCAGGCAAGATTTGTTTTTATTATACAGACAACAAGTCTGTTTCAGAGGAGTTGAAAGCCGCCTCTGGATCTGCTTGGCCCTGAGCTCTCCTGGCTCAAGCTTAGCTCTTTCTTCACTGTTCCTCAGGGGGCTGGAACCCACCTCTAGAAACAAACCTGTTCACTCTGAAACACTGAAAGCATCCATATGACACGTCTGTGCCAGGTGCTGGTGAATTTAAAGACCAATTAGACTTCACTGAAAGCTAAGCTTGCTTTCTTGTGCTAGGTAAGGAAGATCATTTTAATAGCTATGTATGATAAACATATTCATTATACTTTTTGGTTGGCTCAAAATACAGTGCCTCTTTTATGAGGCATTAGACAGATTTTACAGAAGCCAAAGGGCAAAGAGGCCTTATCAGTGGCTCAGCCAGCGGGATGGAGACCCCAGCTGTGTGCGAGGCCCTGAGCAACTGCAACAAGTTAGGATCCAATCAGAACATTGCCGGGGGGTGTGTCTGTGAGTGTGGCTGAGCAGGCCTGCCTGCCATAAATCCAACCTGTGATCTGACTTCAGGTATGTTCTCGGAAATGGTTTCAGATGCAGATACATTTCTCCGAAATCTATATTTCATACAGTAGCCCCACTTACGGTGGTCCTCTGGGCTTAGACGTGATGCTCAGACTGAATAAAGCCGAGCTCATCATCCAGCCCTCCAACTGTCACTGCTTAACCTAACAAATGGCCTCACTTTGACTCCACCTCTCCGGGCCCAGTGGGGAGCCTGCTGCTCCCCTCTGCGCTCACAGCCAGGCCTGTCACGGCCCACAGACACCACTCCCCACACAGCTCCCAAACATCCTCTCCTCTCTGTGGCCTTGCCCTGAGTGTCCTTCAGGGATTCTTGGGACACACTCTTCCTTCCCTCCTGCCCCCATCAGGCCTCCCTCCCCGGGGCTCGCTGCCAGGGAACGTGAACTCCTACCGTCTGCTCAAGAACGGAGCCTCTAATGTCCTACCACTTACGCGCTTCGCCTCATGGCGTTCCTTCCCTCTTCTCTGCATCACATTCCAAACCCACTGCACTGATGTTTCCCAAACTCGCTGAGCTTACTCAGGCTTCGCCCAGACAGGCTGGCAAGGGGCAGAGCGCCCCACATGGCCAGGCGTCTCCTTCCAGTGCCCCTCGCCTGTGAGATGCTCCCAGTCCTCTGTCCACTCCTCAGCCAGACTGACCTCACCTTCCACTGGTTTTGCAGCGCCCTGTGCGCGTCTCCACAGAGCACTGACTTATCACATTATTTGCTAGCTTTGTCCTCCACGAGTTGTTGAGCTCCATGGGACAGACAGCATGTTCTTCTGACATTGTGCCCCGAGCCCCGAGCCCCGAGCATATCTGACAAGGTGAAAGCTCGCGTGGCTGCCTGCACGACATTTCCCTTTTCATGAGCACCTCAGCTCTCTCTGTGGGAGGACAGAAGCAGCTGAGCTTGCCAGGTGGGCGGGATGATGGACCGTGTGGGAGATGCTTCCCAAAAGGTCTGTGAGCCCATGCCAAACAGACATCATCTGAGAGAATGTATGGGACCTGCTTCAGGGCACACACCCGCAGCAGTGACAACGAGAGCATGAGTCAGGGCAGAGATTCTCGGTCCTGTTAGTCACCCTTTTATTCCCAGTACTGTGAGTTCAACCAATATTGACATTCTCCTGGCTTCCCAATCTTTTTATAGCATGTACATGTGTGTGTACCTGGAGAGACGTCTTCTAAACAAACGAAATAAAAAATTGCATGACATGATTTTCTTTGTACCATAAACCACAATTAAAGGATAATGATTCCTATTGATGCACCCACAGAAATTCTAAGCCACTGAAATATACAGCTTTGGTGACTCATTTCATTTGCTAAAAGAAAAATGGCTTTTGGAAGAGAAGGGACATTCTCCCTGAAAATCACGTAACTTGACATTCAGAATTAGTTTTCAGTTAGCTGGCAGAATGAGCTTGTCTTGTAAATTCCTTTTTTTTTAATAATAAATTTTATTTTTATATTTTATATTTTATATTTATATTTTATATTCCCCATACAATTGCAACCCCAATCCCTCCCCTCCCGCCCCCCACCCCCCATAGAGTGTCTCTGGTTCATAGTTTTTTGTTGATTTTGATTTTCACTTTCTTATAGTTATTCATTTTCCTGGTCCCTTATTTAAGTTTTCTAGATTTCTGCCATGAGTGAGACCATCCGGTATTTTTCTTTTTCTTTCTGGCTTATTTCGCTGAGCATGTAAATTCCTTTTAACAGTGTAAAGCAGACACACAGGAGGCAGGCTGGTGGGCTGGTCACCCCCGGGAATTCGGGGTGCTGCTCTCTGCTGCCGCCCAGTGGCAGGAACGCGCACCGAGCACCTCTCCATGGTGCTGAAATTGCCAGCGCAGGGGCGGGAGTCTTCGCTTCGGGGAAGAACCACTCTTGCGTTATGTTCTTGCACCTCTATTCTGGGGCCTCCCTTGCACACGGAATGACAGCTGATTTTATCTTTATCTATTACTGACACTGGCCCAGCCAGTCACCATGAAGCAGGACAAAAGCCAGTAGAGAGATGAAAGGAAGCCCAAATAGATCTTTCATGAATTGATTTGTATCAGAGCTATAAAGAGTTCAAAGCATGAAAGAAAAGCAGACAGGTAAGCACTGCTGCTGAGCACAAAAGCAAATAACTATTTTTTCCTTTTGTCCTCCCGTCCCCCAGTCTCTTTGTCCTTCTTGTCCAGCTACTCAAAGCAAACATTGCAGGAGGTGGGTGGGGTCCCCTCAGGAGTCTGTTGACGGTGGCTGCGCTCACACGTGGCACAGGCTCCGGCTAGGGCTAGCAGCCTTCCCCTCTATTGTTATGAAGCACACTTTACGATGCAAATCACTGTTTACTACATGGCTCATTATTTTCCTCTCTGAATTAAATATGAACACATCAATTACCCGTCGGTCTATTTCTAAATGCATACCCTTGCCGTACCAACCTCTTTCTGCTTTTATATTTTTCAGAATATTCCTGACATTTGTCAACTGGGGTAGTTCTAACCTTTTCTAAACTATTATCTTATTATTTCAGCACTTTTCAAACTTTCCCTTCTAGTTGTTCTGACCTACAGGCACATTGGGTGGGTGCCCCCCCCTCCAACTCACCACTGCTTGTAATCCGCGTCACAGTTGCAGTAGTACTTGGGGTCGGTGCAGTTGCGCTCGATGCCACAGGCACATTTCTGAATTCCAGGTCCAGAGCCTCCCCAGTAGTAGTGCTTCTCATTGGCTTTGCCAACCCACCAGGTGTAAGGACTGCCATCTATGAGAGAGGGGAAAGGCATATTGAGGTGGGAACAAGACTAAGTCATTCTAGTGTCACCCTCACACCCAGGTTCCCTAGCGGCAGCATCCTGAGAGTCTGAACCTCACTTAACCCTCATAAAGGTTCATTTCAATATTAGGAATATTTAATAAACATGTTAGAAGGAATGGCCAGCCTCATTTTCCCACCAGGAGATGTACCTCTTTCTTTAAAAAACAGGCTTACATGCAAGCTTCTGTAATCTAGGAGCCTGTCTGTAAATTGCTGCCCAGATGGGCTGTGTCCACAATGAAGAAATAGGGACCAGGCATTGATTTTGGAATATTCAACTAAACTCATGACTAGCCATGATTTTCTATGAAATGATAACTGTGGAGATCATAGAATGTTAGAGCTAAATGTGGACTTTCATTGTCTTGATACAATCTCTTTATTTTACAGGTTAAAAAAATAGGTCTAGAAAAGGGTGATTTTTTTTCTATCATACAGATTTGCTACCAAACCAGACATTATGTCTCAAAACATTGTACATTCTTTCCTTTATCATTTGGCCCAGTATTCACTCATTTATTCATGCATTTAATCATCAAAAATCCATTGAGTTTCTATCATGCATCATATATTATAGTAAACTCAGAATGGAGGCAAAAGACACAGCTTGAGAATACAGTTTAATATGACGAACAAAGAGGACAGTGAGTGAGGAGAAGGAGGGCATGAAGGATGTGTTCTCAGAGGAGGTGAAGTATTTGGGCTGTCTTCAAGGTTGAGTGGATTTTAACCAGGTGGATAAGGATGTAAGAGAGAAGAGGGCCCATAGGCAAAGGGAGGAGAGAGTATTTTCTTCATGGAAAACATACACAAGAGTGTGAATATGTGCTGGTATATGTGTATATATATATGGTACATGTATATATATATATGGTATATGTATATATACATGGTACATGTATATACATGTGGTATATGTATATATATGGTATCTGTATATATATGGTATATGTATACATGTGGTACATGTCTATATATGTGGTATATGCATATATATCATAGAATAGGGCTGAAGAGGATTAACAAGAGCATCTTGAGAATAGAAAGAGAGGAAGGTGGCCACAGTGGAGGTCAAGACAGAAAGTTGTCAGAGGGTGGAGGGAAAAATGAGGACAGAATCTCTAAAAAATCAATTTGCTCAGCAGTGTCAGATTTTCTAATAAGTTCATTAAGATGAAAATTTAAGCTTTTTCTTTAATTTGACAGGCAGGATGCATGGAAGACTCCTGAGAGGGGTTTCAGGTGAATAGTGGGGAGAAGTCACAGAGCAGTAGGCAGAGGAGAAAAGGAGGACCTGAGAACAACTTCTCTTCCAGGAAGCTGGGAATGAATGGAATTAGGGAGGCAGGGACAGCCAGAACGCCAGCCAGGTGAACCTGTGCTAGTGTCTGTCTCAGAAATAAAGTTGAGGAAAAGTCTTGCACTCAGTGAGTTATCGTATAAGCAGACACAACTTACAAGCAAATCTTGCAATAAAGTAAGGGCCTTTTTAAAGTTGGCAAGTTTATTGGATTTGCCAACAGTTTCCTTCAGAACTTTTTTGTTTAAAGGTGGGCAATTTAAAGTCATGAAACTAGGTAGTGACTCTAAAGTTCAGGTTTGATGTAATGAATGAGCAAATGCTCTGAACTTCAAAAGGAGGTGTCTGGGTAGTTTCCTCCTTCATAGAAATTTCTAGATTTTCCCAGTTGTGTTGATTTAATTTGGAAAAGTTGCTATTTTTCCCTTGACAAGGTCTCTACTGGAAAACAGTAGAGAGGGAAATTTCAATACTTGTTACAGAGAAAGAAGCATCTCTGGAGGTAAAGGTCCACTCTGAAACCCTGACTTCTGTCTATCTTGTGCCAAGAAGGTGAACCTGTGCTAGTGTCTGTCTCAGAAATAAAGATGAGGAAAAGTCTTGCACTCAGTGAGTTATCATATGAGCAGACACAACTTACAAGCAAATCTTGCAATAAAGTAAGGGCCTTTTTAAAGTTGGCAAGTTTATTTGATTTGCCTTGTGCCAGAATATAGGGGTGCTGTGTTTGCTTTTCATATTAAAATTATTTTGTTTTTCCCTTATCTTTCTCTCATGCAAATGAGCAAAGCATCCAGCATCTGATGCTTTCCAATACTGAAAGCATGACAATAATAAATTCTTGTTTTCTTTTGATGTAGTCAAATGTTTAAAAATCCCATTTATTGAACCTATAAAACCTGAGCCAGGTCATTTGGCCTGTAAGCTGCACTGGGTCCCCACTGATTCTATTTCTAGTCATGTTATAGGAAGAGGACAAAGGTGGACAGTGCCACACTGGCTTGCCAAGGCCTCGGAGGACTTCCAGGCCACAACTGGACTCCCTGATATAGAAACATGGTTTAATTCGTTATCACATATATGCATTGTACTGCATCTTTTCAAGGTGACCTAACACTAATTCTTTTTCTGAAAGGAAATCCTGGTTACTATCAGGTTTTTTTGAAACTTGGGGATACTAATATAACTAGTGGAAGGGAGGAAATAAAGCAGACATGACTGGAGTTAGTGTGTCGTCTGGCAGGAAACTCTTGCTCCACTCAAATAGCCAGTGAAAGAGTACAGATCTCAGACCCCAGCTCAGTCACCTAGGATTCCTTCCTGGGACCAGCAGAAATAATCTAACACTGCTCTGTTTTCATTATGGACAGTGAGTGTAAGTTGTATGAACAGAGAAGCTGTGGAAAGCTCTTTCCATATCCTCCATGAACAGAAGAATGTCAATAAACAAAACATATTCCAGGGAAAAAGCATTTTTTGTTCTGTCATTAGCATTGGTTAATTTGGTTAAATCAAATCACTCTTAGTGAAGTACGATATTAATTTGGTGTATATGTTATATTCAGCAGGAAGAGAAAGTTCAATCTTCATTGAACAAAAAATTGCCTTATTCCAGAGCTATGCTAATGAAGTGTTACTTTTTGCTTTACAAATCATTATTTACCTGTTAATTGGCTTTGGATAAAAGCGGTTGAAGATGATAATAATAATGGAAAGAACTTTTAAAAGAATAAGAAGTGATGGGAGAAGAAATAATTTAATTACCTAATGCCAAGAGTTGAAGAACTTCTCTAACCTCAGAATACGAAGATTTTTGTTAGCTTTATTAAGTAGGTGTAATCACCATAGCAAGATTAGGTAATGATAAACCATGTCTAAATTAAAAGAAGCTAAATTATCAGGGTAAGGAATACAGTATCAAGACAGTCAAATACGCATCTAGTTAAATATAATCATGACACAGTTTGGACTCACTTAAGATCAAGTTGTATTACCATGAAGGGTTTATTATGGTTTGGATGCTTAAGAAAGGGAGAGAGAAAAGCAGCTACCTCTCTTCATGGTTTAAAGAAAGCAACAGATCTGTTATTTCTCCAAAAGCAAGTTGTTTCAGAAACATCACGGCAAATTCTCAGGGACCTCATATGAAAATGTGATCTATACCTGTGATTTCCTAAATGTATTCTTTGGAACTTCTGGTCCACACAGAGTAACCTAACAGTCTGCTAAAGTAAATTGTATCCGGCACATTCTATGACAAGACAGGGTACGGTCATGGGGACATTTAATTAGTTCTATTCCTATCACTTCTGTAGGACATTAAAAACAATGCCACAAGGGTCTTATAGCTTCCAAAATGAAAGCAAAAATATCCATTTAATTTGAGGAAACTGAGTTTTATTATATCTACTACTATCTGCTCATCTTCAAATTCGGTGAAAGAATCTCAAGAGGAGTCTTTGCTTTTTTGCACAGGAAACAGAAGAGGAACAATTGCCACAGGACCCTGCCACAGAACTCCCTCTAGTGCCCCCTGTTGGCGGGTCCCTTACAACCCTCAGTCCTGGGAGGATCTTGTTGCGTTGGCAGCACTCTGGCTGTTTGAAGTGCACAAAGTGGGGGATCATTTTTACAAAGATGTGACTCATGCTTTGAAAAATCTCCTACACCCCTCCTCCCTCCCACTCTTACCAGGGCACCACCAAATCATTTTTCTACCACTTCATCAGTTAATCTCAGCTGACCACGCTGATCTGATTATATTAATCCATACCAAGCTATGAGCAGTGATGATAGACACGCGAAGTATAGACATCTCTAACTGGAACAATTCCAGACTGTGTGTGCAAATCAATTTGGATTCTCTGAGAATCTTCCTTCCAATGCAAATGACCTAAAGCAGAAGGAGCAGTAACATATCCATTTAAAATTTCCAATTATTTTTCCCAGAATAATCTTGTCATTGCAACCTTTTATTTTGTAATTTCATAACTATAGTCCTAAATCCAGATGCCTGTATTTTATACTTAGATTAAGAACCTTAAAAATAAAATTAAAAATTACTTTAGCAGACTATTAGGTCACTCTGTGTGGACCAGAAGTTCCAAAGAACGCATTTAGGAAATCACATGTATAGATCACATTCTCATAGATACAAAAAACCTATCATGTCTAGCTGCCTCTAATTTTTGTGAAATCAGATTATTAAGCCAAATCACAATATTCTCTTTTGTTTCCTAACCATTTAATTCTATGTTGCTTTATGTTCATATGAAGACCAAACAAAGAGAGAATTCAAAAAAGTCCTGGGGAGTTCATACCACAGACAAGTGATGTAAAGTTGGGAAAACTCATAATTTTGAAGTTATAAACATTCAATTTCATAGCTAAAGGTGAACATTTTATCTCTCTGTGATTGAATGTCACTAAACTCATTTGATTAGGGCTGAACAGAAATGAATGCAGTTGATTAGCCTCACGTTGTATCTTCAGAATTACACTGGATTTTACTATATGTTATTGATTTGAATAGGGACTAAATTTAGAAATGTGGATTTGAAGTTGAGATCAAAATGGAGCTGAACTGAAATGTTAATTAATTAAAAATTAATTTCACTGCATAACATTTAAATTTATATTATTGAAT